CATGATCTTTATCATTTTTGATGTTATATTTAGGTCTTTGATCCATTTTGAGTTAGTTTTTGTGCATGGTGTGAGGTATGGGTCTTGTTTCTTTTCTTTTTTTTTTTTTTTGCTGATCGATATCCAGTTATGACAGCACCACTTGTTAAAGGGACTTGTATTTTCCCCAATTAATGGACTTTGGGCCTTTGCCAAATATCAGCTGCTCTTAGGTGGATGAATTTATGTCTGGATTCTCAATCCTGTTCCATTGGTCTATGTATCTGTTGTTGTCCCAGTACCAGGCTGTTTTGACTACCTTGGCAGTATAACAGGTTCTAAAATCAGGTAGTGTGAGGCCTCCCACTTTGTTCTTCTTCTTTAGTAATGCTTTACTTATCCAGGGCCTCTTCCCTCTCCATGTGAAGTTGGTGATTTGTTTCTCTATCTCATTTTAAAATATCATTGGAATTTGCATCAGGATTGCATTGTATCTGTAAATCACTTTGGGTAGAACAGACATTTTCATGATGTTGAGTCTTCCTATCCGTGAGCAAGGTTATGCTTTTCCACTTAGGTAGGTCTCTTGGCTTCTTGCAGTACTGTCTTGTAGTTTTCTTTGTATAGGTCTTTTATGTTTCTGATTAGATTTATTCCTAAATATTTTTTCTTCTTGGGGGCTCTTGTAAATGGTATTGATTTGGTGAGTTCCTCTTCGAAGTTCTCTTTGTTGGTGTAGAGGAATCAAACTGATTTTTGTATGTTTATCTTATATCCTCATACTTTGCTGAAATCTTCTATTAGTTCCAGTAGTTTTCTTGTGGATTATTTGGGGTTTTCTTTGTATAAGATCATATCATCTGCAAACAGAGATACTTTGACTTCTTCCTTACCAGTTTGGACGCCCTTTATGTCTTTTTCTAGCCTAACTGTTCTGGCTAGGATCTCCAGCACAATGCTGAATAAGCGTGGTGACAAAGGGCATCCTTGTCTGGTTCCTGTTCTCAAGGGGAATGCTTTCAAAGTCTCTCCACTTAGGATGATGCTGGCTGTTGGCTTTGTATAAATGCCCTTTATTATGTTGAGGAATTTTCCTTCTATTTTGCTGAGAGTTTTTATCATGAATGGGTGTTGGACTTTGTCAAATGCCTTTTCTGCATCAATCGATAAGATCACGTGGTTCTTGTCTTTTGTTTTATTTATGTGATGGATTACATTGATTGTTTTTCTAATGTTGAACCATCCCTGCATACCCGGTATGAATCCCACTTGGTTACAGTGAATTATTTTTTTGATATGTTGTTGAATTCTATTGGCTAGAATTCTGTTGAGGATTTTTGCGTCAATGTTCACGAGGGATATTGGTCTGTAATCTCCTTTTTTTGTGGTGTCTTTACCTGGTTTTGGTATCAGGGTTATGCTGGCTTCATAGAATGAGTTTGGGAGTGTTCGATCATTTTCTATGCTCTGAAATACCTTTAGTAGTAGTGGTGTTAACTCGTCTCTAAAAGTTTGGTAGAATTCTCCAGTGAAACCGTCAGGCCAGGGCTTTTTTTTTGTTGGGAGTTTTTATATTACCTTTTCCATCCCTTCTTTTGTTATAGGTTTATTTAGTTGTTCTACCATTGACGAACAGTGTTTTCTAACTAAGACCGAGTCTGTTGGCTCAACTGCGTAACACCTCTCCTCACAGTGGCCCTGGGCACTGGGTTGTTCACCTGGGGGCACCTTGGCCCCCTGGCAGGTGGAGCTGCCATTGTAAAACAACAACAACAATGTCTGCACTGTGAAACCCTTCCTTTTGGGTCACAGGAACTGCTTCAACTTGGCCTAGATCAAAGTGGAAACAGCCATTTGAAGACAAAAGCAAATGTGGTGTTGAAAAAAGAGCCCTGCAGCGATGTTCTAAAGGACACGAACAAGGCCGAGGAAGGGGTAGGAATGGTCCACAGCTGCCTCGCAATTTCTCCATAAATAAAGGAGAAACAGTTATTCAGTCTCCCACCATGTCACCAAGGGTTTGTGGGAGAAAAACTAGGCAACCTTTAACGTTTTAGTGTTCATCTTTCCTAACATAACACGATCTGATGCCTCACACAAAGCTGCTGCCACTCCCCACCCTTTTCTCATGATCAGGACCCAACTCGCACGCCGGGTTTCCACTGGTCACGGGACGGGGACACCGTGAACCAAAGGCCCGACACTGAAGGATGAGCTGAGAGAGAGCATCAAGGCGCCCCATGACTGACTCTATATCTGGAAACGCAGCTATAGACGCACTGGTCTTTGTAAAAGGCCCTGAAGTGTGCTGGGGACCGGGCTGTGTGTGAAAACCCATCCTGCCTGGGACCTGGCTGACACGCCATCGTGGACAGAAAAGGGGAGAGGAGGTCATGGAAGCCCCAGGGACGTGTGCGTGGGGTTTCCTGCCTGTCTGGTACAGAAGCGTTCCCGATGTTGAGTGCGGGCAACCCAGGGTCTTACCTGAAAGCGGTCAGGTACTCGGTGTCACCCATGGGGGGGTCGAGGCCGCCGGCAAAGGCCATGTTCACGTTGAAGCCCACACCGGGCCCTGTGCCCACCTGCAGCCAAAGGGGAGAAACAAATGCACGTCACTGACCTCGATCGGGTCCCCCACAGACGGGCACACTCCATGGGCCCCACTTACCTCGTCGGGGGCCCCACTGCCCGGGAAGAAGTTCCCATCATCGTAGCGGTGCAGGGAGATATAGAGCACGTTGGGGTCGTTGTAGAATGCCTGCTGCGTCCCGTTCCCGTGATGCACATCCTTCAAGAGCAAAGAGAGCCGCTCAGCATGAGGCGCACGACCACAGGGTGGAAGGTGCCACAACGAGAATGTACGGTTGCCCCACCGTGGCCTTTGCTGTGTGTGTGGATGATTCCGCTGGTGGCAGGTGAGATGCCACGGCCAGGCCCGCCCACTGCCTGGGAGGATGACCAGCCATCTGGCCAGAGCAGGTCACAGGCTATGCAGCAGGGGGTCGTGGGGACACGAGGGAGCGTCCTGGGCCCTTCGAGTAGACAGCACTGTCTTACGTGCCCTCAGCGCTGCGGTGTATTCCCGACCTGGCAATGAAGGTAGGGCTGGTGTTCCCGACCCGGCGGCGGCCATGACCTTCCAAACAACCTGTCACTGGGCCAGGGTCCTGTTCCCGCCGTGTGTGTAAAAGTGAGCTGTGTCGCGGCTTCGTTTGGACGGGGGTCCTGGCCTTGCCTGTCCATCTCTGGCACATTCTAGGTGCCAACTGTCAGGCAATGGGGACACGGCAGTAGCAGACAAAAGGGACGCACCAGTCACAGCACAGGGGTCTGGGCCCCACACCGAAACGACACACCGCTTCTCCTCGTCATGACGCCCCGTCTGCTCAAAGCAGGAGCGGGCAACCAGAGGGTCCCTGCTGCCCGCCCCCGCCTGTGCCATCCCTTCCCGGAGCCACAGTGGGAGATGCCTGGGCTTGCCAAAACTGCACGTGGGCCGTGATTCTAAACACCGAGGGGCTTGTACTTAATGTGTGTGTCTGGCTTACAGAAGCTGTTTGTGCTCATCCACAGACACGGAGGCTGAGCAATGCACAAGACGTGGTAGGAAGAGGATGTGTGGTCCTGCCCACTCGAAAGCAACGTCACTGGGACAATGACACACCCAGAGGCGTTTACGAGGCAGGCTTCTGAGGCGGAGAAGGTAGTGCACGCCCCGTTGTGCACTGTGGAACACACAGCACAGCGCTCGGCCCACGTTCCAAGACAGCGTCCTGCAGGCCGGCCACACGCCCAAAGCGTTTTACGCACTGCCTGGTGCAGGGCATGGGCGTTCCAAGACAGCGTCCTGCAGGCCGGCCACACGCCCAGAGCGTTTTACACACTGCCTGGTGCAGGGCATGGGGGAGTCTGCAGCATGTAGCTACTATGAATTGGGTCGGAATTAGCCCCACCCTACTGACTATTCCCTTAGAGGGAGTTGAAGGAACAGCTCCCGGGGCCTCAGGAACTGGGCGTGCTGGTCCCGCCCCAACCTGCGATGTGTGGGCCCCTAGACCCCACAACCCCACAATCAGCACTGGACCTGTAGTTTGCTTTGGGAAACAATGGAATCTTCTACCCAGGGTCTTTACTTCTAAACTGAAGAGGGCTTCTGCAATAAAAATCATAACCCCACCAGATGTGCCTGGTTATTTTTTTCTTAAAAAAATTATAAAGTAAATCATAAATACTAGAGGGGAAAATAGATGCATATACATATGTATGTATATCTATATATACGTATGTATATCCGTATCTATATAGATATACATATGTATGTACACAAGACATCAAAATCCCAAACCAGTTGTTGTCGACTCTGACTCCTGGCGACCCCACATGTGCAGAGCAGAACTGCTCCACAGGGTTTTCAAGGCCCTGACCTTTTGGAAGCAGCCAGTCAGGCCTGTCTTCTGAAGTGCCTCTGGGTGGGTTCGAACCACCAACCTTCCAGTTAGTATTCCAGTGCCTGTTTGTGCCACCCAGGGAATCTCTCTTTCTACACATATAGCTCAGAGAATACAAGAACAGTTTTAGAATCAGTGTGCCTAGTTTTGGAATTCAGATATTACGCAGCATTTCTTTTTAAAGAGTTTCCCCTTTTGGGGCGGTGGGATCTTGAGAAGGGGCACCTCCCACCAGAAAATGGAGAAGGAGGCTAATGACCTCCATCCAATCACGAGGTGAGCCACCATCTAGAAGCAGGAGGGGTTTCCTCAGAAGGGACAAGGACGCGCAGCCTCGGCGCCAAGCTCGGGCAGAGCCCTGTCCACACCACAGACCAGAAGCACCAGGTCGAAAGGGGGCACTGGCTCAACTCAGCTGCCCATAAGTTCTCGCCAGGGGCTGCCCTGCAGCAGCTGCCCTCACCCCGGCCAGATTTCTAGAACACTCTACCTTTTAGGAGTCCAATTATTGGAAAGATTGGTGGATTTTGAGCTGTCAAGTAGACTTGTAGCAGATTGGAGCTTTTATTTTCCCCATCTTTGAGACAGTTTCCAGAAGTTATGTGTCCCAAACCCCAGTGTCAAAGGAGGCCTGAATACCCACTTCCTCTCCCCACGCAAACCCGGGTCTGCATGGGGCAGACATGAGGGTGCCCTTCCTAATGCTCCCTGCAGGTGGCGCCGCTCACCCAGTCCACGATGAGAATCTTGCTGACGTTCAGCCTCTGCTGGAGGAGCTTGGCTGCGATGGCCACTGAGTTGAAGTAGCAGAAGCCCCTGGAGGTGCGAATCGAGAGAAAGAAAGAAAACAAGGGCCCTTATTAGTTTTCACAAGACCAACTAGTACCTCGTGGGATTCTGAGAGGCTCGGTGAGCACGGCTCCTGGTCAGGCAGTGGGAAACCACATTGATGCTACCTGGCGCACACACACGCCAGACTCACCCCACACGTTCACATACACACACACACGCTCACATACACCACACACACACGCCCCACACAACCCCCAAACTCACACACACACTCTCCCACTTCTCCACACTCACACACACTCCACACTGTACCCCCTCACACCTCATCTCCTGCATGGAGATTCCCAATGATTTTAGGGTAAGCAAGTCTATTTCACGTTGTTTGTATCCACATTTCCCTCTTACTTGACTCCAGAACACATCACAGAACATGTACTGAGAACTCAAGAGGCACTTCAGCCCCGCAGAAGAAAGTTGCTTATTTTAGTTACTTACTGCTTGTCTTCTCATACTTGACGACAATTAAGGCACACGAGATACATATCTATATCCAGATACAGTAACACATAGAATATACGAGGGTAAGTCAAAAAGCATTGCTGCTAGGTTCCAGTTCATACACGCACAGGTTTATTCCACAGAAAACGTGTTTAACCGTGTCTCTGCGATCAGTGGACGGCTGCAGACAAGTCCTCTCAGTAATACACCTGTCTTAGTCTTGTTAGAGTGTCTTCAAAAAAAGCACACTTTTTGTGCCATGGAAAAAAATCATTTTGAGGTCTGGGCTAATATCAAATTTTTAACAGAACTGAAGTGGACAGCTTCCCAAATCACTGAAGTGTTGCAACAAGTTTATGGGAAGGCTGTCCCACGTGAAATGAGTTTTTAGATGAATCAAGCATTTTAAGGAAGGTCAGGAAGACCTCAAAGATGAGCTAAGAGAGGGAAGACCGCTCAGAAGGTTATAGCAACTGTTTTTTGGGATCCCAAAGGGATATAATCTTGATAGACTTTTTTCGAAGGACACAAGACGACCACGGGGGCTTATTATGAAGAAGTTCTAAGAAAACCGAAACCTGCCCTGGTGAGAAAAAGGCCAGGAATCTCGCGATGAGGATTTTTTTCCATCACGACAATGCGCTTGCTCATTCTTTAGGGGAAGCAAGGGCTCGCCTGCGAGAATTTCCTCGGGAAGCCTTACTCCATCTGCCCTATCACCTTGATCTTGCCCCTTTAGACTTCATTTTGTTCCCAAAACTCAAAGGACATTTAAACAGAACACGATTTGAGTCCCGCAGGGATGACAAAACGGCCATTTTGATGTGTTGTAAATCGAAGAGTGCAGAATTCTTCGGGGAAGTGTTAGAGAGATAGAAACACTGCCTTCAGAAGGGTATAGACCTAGATGGAGGATAGGTCAAGAAACAAGAGCTTCCAAGTTTTGATATTTTTGTTTAATAAAAGTTTCTATGATTTTGAAGCAAGACTTTGTGATTTACCTCATATATATTCACTCCAGTAATAACACTGCATTTTTAGACGGTCTCGTTCAAGAGTGAGAAGCAAGCTCAGAAAGTGATTCAAGCATGAATGAAGACCCTCTGAGCCTGCATTTCCCCCTGCCTGGGTTACCGGGCTAAGAACCACTGTTTGTTTTGTTTCTAGAATCGCAGGCTGGTGATGGAAGCCCAAACGTCCCAGGACACTAAGAAGCTAGCTCTCTGTTGCTACAAGCTGCCATTCTCACATCAGTACCACAACTGCAGTAGCTCATGGCAAACATGCAGGAGCACTCCAACAGAAATACTGACTTGTATCCCACTCGAGGTCCATTTAGGTTTATTACTTAGACTCTCTGACAATTTAAACTCAGATGAGAAAAGCACCTTTGGAGAAATGAAGCGCACAAAGCTTCTTAAGCAAGGGGAGTGTGCTGGGTGTGGGGTACCCCAACGCTGTTCTTTCAGGTAAGGCTGCAAAGACCCCAGCCCAAAGTCCACACTCAGTGGTTATCATCTTCCTTCTGTGTGAAGGCGATCTTCTTCTAGAACTTGGAGCCGAAAGCCTCGCCTCCTGATCTGAATGCCAAAGCTCCTGCTTGCCCGAAAGCTAACACTCGAATTCCTTAGGCCACGAGTTCCAGCCTGCTCAACCCGAGGCTCCTGCCTTGTTCTGGAAGCTTCTACAATGGCTCTTGGCTTCATGCCCTGCGCTTCCTGGCCGCTCCCTGCAGGTGCTCAATGCCCGGCCGTTGTCTGCCCCTGTCCTCTAACAACCTGCTGCTCGCTTTGGGGAGTGCCCAGAGGCCACCCCTTCCTGACTCCACCCATTCAGATGAGAAGAGCTGCCCCTCGCCCCATTCTCACAGCCCTGGTGGCACCCACTGGTTGTTTCTGTCCCCGAGATGGCATGATCCCCGCCTAGGGCGGCGGGCACACAGTACACCAGGGCTGAGCTGAAGAGGCGGTGCTCGCCTGGCTGGTGGAGCCACGCGTCCTTGGCACAGCGCTAACAGTGGTGGAGCAGAGACGGCCCACCGCCCACGTGCACCTTCTCACCCAGACCTCCACGGTGTGGACAGCTGGGGTTTCCAGAAGACCCCAGAGTCCGAGCTGGCCAGGTGGGGACCAAATCTTTTTCACAACACGCTTGACAACTCAAACGTTCCCCTAGCCCGACTTTGCAGTGGGCGTGGCTCCCTCTGGTTTGCTCCTGAGTCGTGAGTGCCATTGGCAGACTAACCTCCATGCTCCCTGCTGCCTCATGGAGCTGTGTGCACTTGTCTATTTGCGCTAGATCAGAGACCCGGGGGAGCCGCGGGCATGCGTGCACAGCACATGTCGCGGGGGGTCGGCGCAGGGCCAGCAACCCCCAGCTTTTTCCAGGTGGGCCCAGCCCTGCCGGGGGATGGTCAGAAGCTGTCCTTGCCCTACCCCCGTGTGCCTGGGTGTCCCAGGGCGTGTACTTACATGGGCGTGCTCTCCTCTGCATGGTGTCCTGGGGGGCGGACCACCGCAAAGCCGTTCTGCAGACGACCCCGAGCAGGGGCGAGAAACAAGCGAGAAAGACAGGCTTTATTTCAATGTGCAAAACTGTTGAAGACTAAACTTTTCGCAGACTCAAAACGTACGTGAAGGCCTGGTTTCACCTGCATCCCTAAGGGGCTGGGTGTGAGCATTTCAGAGACTCTCTGAGGCGTTCTGTAAAGACGGCTGCTGGGATCACGGGTTCCCAGCGAGTCCATGTCAGGGAGGTAAAAGGCATGTGTCCTTGGCTTTCTAGAGTTCACTGTTGCTGGCAGCCTGGCGCTGCTGAGCTTGGCATCCCAGGGAAGTGTGGATGGGGCGCTCTGGCCTCCATCGGCCAATGACCAGGAAGTGTCCACAGGGGACCCCCCAGATCTGCTGCCCTGGCACAGGGGGCTCAGAGGACTGAGCTGGAAGTATCCACAGGGGATGATACCCGCCCCCCACCGCCCAGACCTGGTGCCCCGGCACAAGGAGCTCAGAGGACTGAGGTGGAAGTGTCCACAGGGCTGACTCCTCCCACCAGATATGGTCACAGGGGCCAGGTTCAGTTAAGAAAGCCCCGATGAGGCAGTAAAATTTACTAACTGTATTAAACCTTGGCCCTTGAACACATGTCCTTTTGACACCCGTGTGAGGACATGGGAAGGAGCAGAGGAGCTGTGCTGCCGATTGTGCCTGGGGGAGATAATGGGCAGCTGTGTCAGTGGTGGGCTGAGCTAGCTCCTTTTCCCACAGAGCCCCTTAAAGGAAGGACTGATGGATATTCCAGGCTGGGTAGCTGGACGTGGGCTGTCACGTGGAGAAAATGACAGGCACTGTCAAAGCTAAAATCTGAGCTTTCGGTGGAAACTAAGCTTGGGAGATGTGTACGCGCCATGTGGGCTTGCTGGCTCTTCCTGATACATAAAGGCCGTTCTGATGGGATGGGTGGTGTCCTTCCTGAATGTGGTTTTTGATATTGCCTAATAAAATGTGTCAAATTTGGAAGGTCTGTGTATCTCGATGGACCTTTATTTCCAAACGACCAGTGCCTGATGCTACAAAATCACGCATGGTAAAGACTCATCAAGGTGCAAGCAGACTCTTGCCCTCTATGGGGACAGGGTCAGAGACATCATTGCTGGGGTTTCAGATTCCACAGGGCTGCTGGTTTCTAAGAAACCCCCACACATCAAGTTTTGATGCTGAGTCAGAATTGACTTGACGGCAACAGGTTCACCGAAGAACATCTACGATTATATAGAAAGGTGATTAAAATCTGTGTGAAGCTCAATTTTCTTCATGTCCTTCAACCAGAACAACAAGTCACAACCAATGGCTGCAGAAGCAGGTATAAGAGTCCAGCTGCTATCTATCATGCCAGCTGGTATTGCTATTTATAAATGAATTAATAAATATTCAAAAAGTTTCTCATCAGAGCAGCTTCACGGAGCTCCCAGCAGGAGACAGAGCACTTGCTGGACCTGCCCTGCTGCACAATAGCTGAGCGACTGGGCCTGCCCGCTGGACAAGGTAGTGAGAATTATCGTGCCCTCAGACGAGCAAACGACGAAGAACGCATAGCTCCCTTGCTCAGAACTAACCAAATAAAACAAAAAAGCAGGATGAAACAAACAAATCTACAATCCATAAATGAACAAAATAACTAGTGAATGTTCCGAAGACAGCAGACAATATCAAAACATATTAAAAAAACAGGACAGGATGGTTCCAGTAGGTGTCTAAAATAAAACCCACCAGATGACACTCCCGTAGAAGAAAAGGCACTGAAACTACCTGATAGGGAATTCAAATCTCTAATAGTCAGAACTATCCAAGAGTTGAAGCAAAAAGCAGACAAAAATGAGGAAAAAATACACAAAATCATGGAAAAGGCAGACAAAATCATGGAAAAGACAGACAAAAACAATAGAAGAATTTAAGAAAATAATACAGGAACAAAACGTCAAAATAAATTCACAACTAGAAATTGTACAAAAACAGCAATTAGAAATCCAAAACAAAAACAATAAGATTTCAGAAATGGACAGTGTCATAGAAGGTCTGAGGAGCAGGTTTGAAACAATGGAAAACAGGATCGGCGAAATTGAAGACAAACACTTGGATACCACTTTGTTTGAGGGAAAAATCAGAAAAAAGAATGAAGAAAAATGAATAAACCCTGAGAATGATGTAGGATACAATCAAAAGCAAAAATCTATGAGTGATCAGAGTTCCAGAACAGGGGGAGAAAACAGAAAACACAGAGAGGATCATTGAAGAACTGCCAACAGAAAACTTCCCCAATATCATGAAAGATGAAAAGCTGACCATCCAAGAAGCTCAACGAACCCCATATAGGATAGGTTCCAAAAGAAAATCACCAAGACATATCATAAAATCACACTCGCTAAAACCAAAGACAAAGAATCCTGAGAGCAGCTCAAGAAAAACAAAAAGTCACGTACAGAGGAGAAACAAAAAGACTAAGCTCTGATTACTCGGCAGAAACCATGTAGGCAAGAAGGCAATGGGATGACATATACAAAACCTTGAAAGAAAAGAATTGCCACCCGAAATAATATATCCTGCAAAACTCTCGTTCAAATATGATGGTGAAATTAGGACATTTCCAGACAAACAGAAATTAAGGGAATATGTAAAAATCAAAACACACTTATAAGCATTATTAAAGAGAATCCTTCAGTTAGAGAACAACATCAGACGACAGCCTGAATCTAGGATGCAAGACCACACCAGCCAGATACCAACCTAGGAAATGAACTCTCAAGGATTAATCAAAACTAGAAGATTTACAACAGAGAACCAGAGAGAGGTTAATCTGCAAATGACGACAGCATCAGAACAATAAAAGAGGGAATAAACGGTATAGGTACAGAACTTTCTAATGGAGAGGAAGGCAAGGCAATACCAAGTAATAAAAGAGTGGTTCAAACTTAGGAAGATCAGGATAAATTTCAAGGTAACCAAAAAGAAAGTTAATAAACATACTCATCAAAATAAAGAAGAAAAACATAAAGTCTCAGTAAACTAAACACAAAATCTACAAAAACAAAAGAAAAAAAAAATCCACTAACAAAAAGTTTCTCATCAGCACCGATGATATAGCTTATTTAACTAAAGCTCTGTGGGGCCTGGACAATCTCTCAGCGTGGAAGGGCACCTGAGGCTGCCATCTTTGAGAATGGCTGCACTGGCCTCTGTTCCCCTCAGCATGCAGGCAGGGCAGGGTGTTCACCCTTTGTCCCCCGTGGAGCTGGCCTCCCCATGAGCCCCTCCGTGCGTGTCTGGGGGACATGGCAGCAGCTGGCTCCTGTGGGGACAGTCCTGGCACGCTTCAGCTGCTGCAGTTTGCTGGCAGGCCCCCCACAAGGCACTGGGCCAGGCCCCTCACTCACCTTCAGCTCGCCCGTGGCCACCTTGAAGACGAGTTCCACCACGCAGCCCACGGCCAGACGGGCCGCCCCCGACGAGTGCACCTCATTCCATATGGTGTCGCTGTCCACCTGCGGAGAGTGGTCACGGTCACCGTCACCCCCACCACACAGATACTGGCACAGCCCCGCCCACACCGGTCCCAAGTCTCCGTCAAGGCCTTGTGTCTAAAATCCCAGCATTGGGCCCCTCACCTTTATTCCCTCTTAAAGAACAGACTCAGCTTGTATTGGGGTTACTTCTTCCTTTACAAATAACATATGCCACAAACGAACGGAGACAGAAAGCTGACGCGTGTGGAATAATGTACGCTTTCACCCCTGAGCATCACGAACCCCACAAGTGCTCCAGCTCACTCGGAGCCAGAGGGAGTGACGCCACGCTCACGCGTACCTTTCCTCTCCCTCCCTCCCCTGCCCCTTGTTTTACACCGCAGCAGTTAGCCAGCTGCGTTGGGAATGAACATAAGGGAACGCAGAAGGAGAGCCTCTTCAGGCTGTGACTTCACTCTGTGCTGAAATTAACTGGAATCCCCGACCGCCTGACGGGACAGGGAGGCGGGAGTCGCATTGGGCCGGGCAGGGTCAGACACGCTTTAGAAGGTGGTGGAACATTCGCCAGACGCTGCCCCTCCGAGTACACGGTGTCTTCACACACACGCCCGGCAGTTTGTCTGTGTGCTTCCTGGTGTGTTTATTTCGGCGTAACACAATAAAAGGCGGCAGTGGCCAGCGTGGCAGAGAAGGACAAGGGGACCGTGGCCGGGTCTGGGAGCCTGGGGGTGGGGGGCGGCGCAAAGGGCCAAACAGCCAAGACCCAGACACAGGGGTCCTGTCCTTCCTGAGGGGCACCATCGGTGAAGGCCCTCACTGAACACTCTCCCCATATACCTGAGGCCCTCGCCTCTCAGCACCCATCACCCCGGAGCCCAGGAGCCCGCGGCCGCATGCAGCCAGGACGCCGGCTGCCGACCCCTCCCGTCTTCTCCGCTGGCACCCCGTGAGCAGACCTGCCACTTGAAAGGAGCTGATGCTTACATGGGGAGGGATGGATACCGTGAGAGGCAGTCTGGAAGCTGCATCTTCAAAGCAAGATGATTTGAAATAAATTTACGAGGGGCTCAAGCCGTTTCCTGGAGGGTATTACTCGGCGGGGTTATTCTCAGCGAGCAAACCTCGTTTCCTTAAATAGCTTCCAAATGTCGACAGAACCCTCTCCGCAGGGCCGGCTCGGCAGCACCAGAACTCAGCATTTCAAAGACGACTTCCGCTCTCAGGAACAGTCCGCTGCTGCTTGATGAAGTGGCCGCAGAACTGCAAACACTCCGGGACACGAGGAAAACTCTTCACACCACGATAACAGGTCATTCAGCAGGGAGACGGGATCACTAGTCCAGGGTGGCTGTCCTGGAGCCAGAGCCTGGCCAGAGCTGGGCCTTCCAGAAAGATGCCACCAGCTGCCCCGGCTTCCAAGGGGACAGTGTCCTTGGTGGCAAGGCCCAGGGCTGCACACCTGGGCCCTGGAAAGACAGTTTGGGCAAAACAAAAACCCATTGCTGTCCAGGCGATTCTGACTCACGGCGACCCCACGTTTCAGAGTAGAACTGTGTTCCTCAGGGTTTTCAGTGGGTGTGATCTGGAGGTGCAACAGTCAAGCACTAGGCTGCTAACCTAAAGGTTGGCAGTTCGAACCCACCCAGCAGCTCCAAGGAGAAAGACCTAGCGATCTGCTTCTGTAGAGATCACAGCCTGGGAAACCCTATGGCGCAGCCCTACTGTGTCCTATAGGATTGCTACGAGTTAGAATTGACTTGATGGCACCCAACGACAATCTTTAGGAAGTAGATTGCCAGGCCTTTCTTCCAAGGATCCCTTTGTGAACTCAAACCTCCACCCTTCTGGTTAGTAGCTAAGTGCTTAACTGTCTGCAGCTCCCAAGACTCCTTCTTCGGAGACCACTCCTCATTAGCACGTGGTTATTGGGGTTTCAGGACTAAGAGGTCACGAAGGGAGGGAAAATGGACCAACACTGCTGAGTATGCCTGAAAGGGTCTCTCATCCCCCAGCCGGCACCTCTGCCTGCTCAGACGGTGCCATCACAGTCACACAGAGCGGGGGACGGAGCCCGACCCACTCTGGGGCCCCAGGCAGTCCACGTCCCAGAGAGCTCCAGCCCACGTCCTTCTGCTGGGCCGTCAGCCCCCGGGGTGCGCCTCAGGTGGCAGCGGTCCTGGAGAGGCACGAAGTCCGGCAGGAGCGAGGCCGGGGCGCGGCAGGCCGGCTCACGGCGGTGAGGGCTTAGAGCGGGTGGCACGCAGTCAGGAGCACGAGCAGAGGTGCGGGATGGGGGTGTGGGTTCCCTCCGGGCTGTCTAGGGTCCAGACAGGAAATGCTGAGGGAGAGCTCAGGAGAGTTCTGATGGATTCCAACTTGCTGTCACGAGCGGGGACGGGCCTGGTGAGGCCCAGCCTCAGGCGAAGGAGCAGGGAGGTGTGCACATCTGGGGTTCACCCAGCGCCCGGCTCAGGGAGGCCGCTCCAGGCATGGCCTGTCCCAGGTGACGCTTCTTCCTCACTAATTGGGAGATGAGCTTCCAGTTCCCAAAGTTCCAGCCCATAGCTTCAGTGCTGACTCCCAGGAACTGGCCGGAGAAGCCACGGCCTCTCTGTGCCTGCTTTCTCCGTGTTCAACAGCCACGTTTGACTCAGGCTGTGCCGGGCATGGGAGCTTGACTGTCTGCTCTGCTCTTCCCAACAGGGAGGGGACGGTGCGGCCTTGGACATTGAGGGACTGTGCTGACCTGAGGGGACGGTGCGGGCCTGGAAGGGGACAGCGAGGGGACGGTGCAGCCCTGGAAGGGGACAGCGAGGGGCTGTGCTGACCTGAGGCGACCACAGGAAAACAGCAGCGTCAGGGCTGGGCGGGGCAGGTTAGCCTCAGTGCCTCGTCTCCCTATCAGAGGGTGTTATGAGAAAGCCCAAAGAAAGAACTGCCCCGCAGTGCCCTGTGGGTCACTGTCCAGAACCCGAGGGCGCCGTCGAGTTCGGGCCATCTTCCCTCAGAGCTGCACCCATGGGTGCTTTGTGCCCCCCTAGAGGGCAGCCTGGCCAGCCAGCTGGGCCTGCAATCTGGGGGCAAGGCTGGAGGTGGGCTGCTGGAGCTCAGCCTCCCAGGTCTGAGTTCCCATTTAGTTTTCATTTGCAAATTATAAATTCTGCCTCGAATGGCACGCTGGCTGCAGGGCAGTGTAAATCCAAATCTTTTCAAGTCTGGCCAAAAATTTGCCACGAATTAAAGAGATCGGAGCCCATTTACAATACAAAATAAAACAGCTTGGGGCGCGCCTGGCGGTGCAGGGCTAAGTGTCGCTTATTCTCCTTCTGATGGGATAATTTTCAAAGCGGCGACTTCTGTAAAGACTCAGGAAGAAAACAATTTTGTTTCATTTCCATAACAGACTCCAGACCTTGAGCTTCACCCACCCCATGTGCAATTACGCACAAACGCTGCTGTGTAGCTTCGAGCCGGGGGCCTTTGTTGTCCGTGCGTCCAGCCGGCCGGCTCGGAGGAGGCCCAGCCTCCCCTTCAAACAGTGATTCCTGTTCTCGCTCCACCTCCCTCAGTTTCATCAGGAGGACGTGCGCAGTACAGGGGAACCCTTCTTCGTCCAGTGCAGCTCTGACTGTCCCGCCTGACCCCGCAGCGGGGCAAGGAGCCCCTTCCTACTACACGCTTGCACCCGGAAGGCCTGTCAAAGCCGTCAACTCCCCTCAAGTGTTTAACGACAAAGGCACATCTGCTCAGAAGAGAGAAGCACGCACGGTCCATCTCGCGGCTCAAACCTCCACGTGCTCCGTAAACACTGAGCCGCCGCCGAATCAGGGCTTCCTGTCACACGGGGAAGTGGGTACAGAATAAACAGTCCTTCCAAAGGACGCACTCGTGACCGAGAGGTGAGCAGGCTGCTGCTCCTCCACGGGGAGGAAGGGCCCGCGGGGCCGCCGCAGGCACAAGGTTAGCCTCGTGGGACGTAGCCCCCTGCCCCGGGAAGGCACGCAGGTTCCAGGCTCCGCGCAGCTGCGCGCACACAAGCTTTGAAGCACACATGTGTGGTGGGGGCCCCCCACCCCAGGCCTGCTATGGAAAACACCTGGTAGCAATTACCCCCTCTGTAGAAGGCAGGGTGGCGATTCTGTGACCGCTGAGGCCCCAAGAACAAACAGGACGCTATTTACACATTAAAGAGATACTCACCCCGACACCGCCACATGGGAGCCGCACGAACACGGAGCTGAGGGAGCCTGTGGGGAGAGGGACAGTCAGGGGCCGGCGGTGAGAGAAAAGGCCGCCAGCCCAGCCTGGCCGGAGGCCACCAGAGCACTGCGTGAGCGGAGCCCTCAATGGCCCTGGGTGGGAGGTGAAGAACACGCCCACGGCTGAGGGTGCACGCAGGGCCAGGCCCGTCCACAGGTGGCCACTGCAGGTTATCTCTGTGGGCGGTGGCCAGAGTGTGCGGGCTGAACTTGTGTGCAGACCCACGTGGAGAGGTCTGGCGTCCTCTCTGGACAGAACCTCACCTCCAGGGAGCAGCCCCCTGGGGGGGGTGGGCACTGAGCCCCAAGATGGGCTTACTCCCAGCCCAGCTGGCTGGTGCCTTTCCAGGAACAAACCCCGAGATCCTGAGAGGCCGTGGGGGACCAGGACTCTCCTCCCACAGAATCGACCCAGCTTCTCTGGAGCTCCGTGTGCAGCTCCAAGCACAAGTCGAAGTTCGGGTGTTCCTGGTGGTCCCTCCAGCTGTGAGCAAGGCAGAGAGGCCCAGAACCTTGAGAACCCCATCCGTGTCACCTTCCCTGGGACTGCACACGGCCACAGGGGTTGATGTGGGCCAGAGAGGGGTGCCCCAAGAAGCCCACCCTCCACGCAGCTCACGCTGCTCCAGGGACGGGCTGCCCACCCTCCACGCAGCTCACGCTGCTCCAGGGACGGGCTGCCCACCCTCCACAGGACTCATGCTGCTCCAGGGACGGGCTGCCCACCAAGGAACATCCCTCCTTGAATCTGGGGCCTCAGCTGCCTGGCTTATTCCCCCAGCATGAGAGAAGCTGACCATGGGCCATGGTGGGACAAAACTTGACCAGTGGAGTCACTCTTGGACCCAGGCACTGCAGTGGTCACCCCCCACCGCGAATAAGCTAGCAGGACTGGCATCAGAGAGTCGCGTCTGCCGTTCACAGAGAAGCTCCGACTCCATGCCCTTTCCTGAGCACAGCTTGCAATTCTGCTGAGCCAGCTCCATGTCACTTTTTAAAATGGCAAAGGCAGTCCCCAGTTTGGTCCACACTGTCATTCATCCTGAAGAGTTGGTGTGGTTGCCCCCCTACCAAGGTCCTTTCTCGCTCCAGTCTTCTGAGGCTGAACTTCCCAGAGTGGAGGATGCAAGTCCTTTGGGACAATTTCCATGTCAGGGAAGTGGGCTCAGGCTTGCTAACCTGTGGATTCACTGGGCTTCTAAGCTTCAAATTTGAGGCACATTGTTCACGTTGTCAAAAACAAGAAAGAGAAACTCAACACATGGTGTCACTAGGGGAGAAGCAGCAGTGGGTGTGTCTTTTCTCCCAGTCAATCAATCAATCAATCAATCACCTGCTTGGCCCTGAGCGGTGGACCAGGGGCCTCACTTCTCAGTTCATGGCCGGCAGCACGGCCCCTTGGAGATCCCTCTCCTTGCTGGTTCTATGCTTGTTGAATGTTCATCCCATCATCCTCACACACCCACTCAGGTCTCCTAGAGGCAACCATGTTAGTGTTGTCGTTGTCGTTAGGTGCCATGGTCAGTTCTGAATCTTAGCGACCTCACGTGCAACAGAACGGAAGACCGACCAGTCCTGCACCATTCTCATAATTGTTGCTATGTTTGAGCACATTGTTGTAGCCACTGCGTCCATCCACCTCACTGAGGGTCTTCCTCTTTTTCACTGACCCTCTACTTTACCAAGCATGATGTCCTTCTCCGGGACTCGTCCCTCCTGATAACATGCACCTGTCAGTTTGTCACACTGTGGTGGCTTGGGCGTTGCTGTGATACCGGCAGCTATGCCACCAGTGTTTCAAATATCAGCAGAGTCACCCATGGCGGACAGGTTTCAGTGGAGCTTCCAGACTCAGACAGATTAAGAAGAAGGACCCGGTGGTCTTCTTCTGAAAAAACTGGCCAGTGAAAACCTTGTGAATAGCAGTGGAACATTGTCTGATATCGTGCCAGAAGATGAGCTCCTCAGGTTGGAAGACACTCAAAATGCAACCGGGGAAGAGCTGTCTCCTTGAAGTAGAGTTGACCTTAATGACGTGGATGGAGTCAAGCTTTCGAGACCTCCATTTGCTGATGTGGCACGACTCAAAATGAGAAGAAACAGCTGCAAACATCCATTAATAATCAGAACTTGGAATGTATGACGTATGAATCTAAGAAAACTGTAAGCTGTCAAAAATGAAATGGACTACCTAAAGATAGATATCCCAGGCATTAATGAGCTGCAATGACTGGTATTGGCCATTTTAAATTGAACAATCATATGGTTTACTATGCCAGGAATGACAAACTGAAGAGGAAGGGTGTCACGTTCATTGTCAAAAAGAACTTTTCAAGATCTATCCTGCAGTACAATGTTGTCACTGATAGAATAATACCCATACACCTACAAGGAAGACCAGCTGATAGGACTATTCTTCATATTTACCGACCAACCACCATTGCCAAAGATGAGGAAATTAAAGATTTTTACCAACTTCTTCAGTCTGAAACTGACCAAACATGCAATCAAGATGCATTGATAATTACTGGTGATTGGAATGTGAAAGTTGGAAACAAAGAAGAAGGATCAGTAGTTGGAAAATAGGGCCTTGGTGAAAGAAAGGACGCTGGAGATCACATGATAGAATTTCGCAAGACCAATGACTTCTTCATTGCAAATAACCCATTTTCAACAACATAAACAGTGACTATAAACATGGACCTCACCAGATGGAATACACAGGAATCAAATCAACTGTATACGTGGAAAGAGACAACGGAGAAGCTCAATATCATCAGTCAGAACAAGGCCAGGGGCTGACTGTGGAACAGACCATCAATTGTCCATATACAAGTTCAAGCTGAAGCTGAAGAAAATTAGAGCAAGCCCATGGGAGACAAAATACGACCTTGAGTATATCCCACCTGAATTTAGAGACCATCTCAAGAACAGATTGGATGCATTGAACACTAATGACCGAAGACCAGATGAGTTGTAGAATGACATCAAGGACATCATACATGAAGAAAGCAAAAGGTCATTAAAACGACAGGAATGAAAGGAAAGACCTAAATAGATGACAGAAGAAACTCTGAAACTTGCTCTTGAATGTAGAGTAGCTAAAGCAAATGGAAGAAATGATGAAATAAAAGAGCCGAACAGAAGATATTAAAGGGTGGCTGGAGAAGACAAAGTATTATAATGTCATGTACAAAGACCTGGAGTTAGAAAACCAAAAGGGAAGAAGATGCTCAGCATTTCTCAAGCTGAAAGAACTGAAGAAAAAATTCAGTCCTTCAAGCAATATTGAAGGATTCTACAGGGGAAATATTGAACGATGCCAAAGATGGAAGGAATACACAGAGTCACTATACCAAAAAGAATTGGTCGATGTTCAGCCGTCTCAGGAGGTAGCACATGATCAAGAACCGATGGTACTGAAGGAAGAAGTCCAAGCTGCACTGAAGGGAATGACGAAATTGAGGTGTTTCAACAAATGCATGCAGCACTGGAGGTGCTCACTCATCTATGTCAAGAAATTTGGAAGACAGCTTCCTGGCCAGCCGACTGGAAGAGATCTGTATTTGTGCCCATTCCAAAGAAATGTGATCCAACAGAATGCAGGAATTATCGAACAGTATCATTAATATCACACACAAGTAAAAGTTCGCTGAAGATCGTTCAAAAGCGGTTGCAGCAGAACATCGACAGGGAACTGGCCGGAAATTCAAGCTGCATTCAGAAGAGGACATGGAACCAGGGATATCACTGCTGATGTCAGATGGATCTTGGCTGAAAGCAGAGAATACCAGAAAGATGTTTACCTGTGTTTTATTGACTATGCGAAGACATTCGACTGTGTGGATCATAACAAATTATGGATAACATTGGGAAGAATGGGAATTCCAGAACACTTAACTGTACTCATGAGGAACCTATACTTAGAACAAGAGGCAATCGTTCGAATATCACAAGGGGATACTGCGTGATTTAAAGTCAGGGAAGGTGTGTGTCAGGGTTGTATCCTTTCACCATACTTATTTGATCTGTATGCCGAGCAATTCATCGGAGAAGGTGGACTATATGATGAAGAACGGGGCATCAGGATTGGAGAAAGACTCATTAACAATCTTCGATATGCAGACGACACAACCTTGCTTGCTGAAAGTGAAGAGGACTTGAAGCACTTACTGATGGAAGTATGGATCACATCTCAACATAAAGAAAACAAAAATCCTCACAACTGGACCAATAAACAACATCATGATAAATGGAAAAATATTGAAGTTATCAAGGACTTCATTTTACCTGTATCCACAATCAACACCCATGGAAGAAGCAGACAAGAAATCAAACGACATATTGCCTTGGGCAAATCTGCTGCAAAAGACTTCTTTAAAGTGTTAAAAAGCAAAGATGTCGCTTTGAGGACTAAGGTGCGCCTGACCCAAGACGTGGGCTTTTCCATCGCCTCGCATGCATGCGAAAGCTGGACAACGAATAAGAAAGACTGAAGAATTGATGCCTTTGAATTGTGGTGTTGCTGAAGATTATTGAATACACCATGGACAGTCAAAAGAACCAACAAATCTGTCTTGGAAGAAGTACAGCCAGGATGCTCCTTAGAAGCGAGGATGGCGAGACTTGCTGTCACGCACTTCGGACGTGTTATCTGAGTGTAGCTGGTGTTTATTTTGTTGACTGAGTGTATTTTGTTTGGTGGGAGTGTATGTTTACACGAATGATATAAATCATTCCATTTCCTTTTTCTTTTCTACTAAGCCCTGTGTTTAAAACCTGTTCACGTCACTAGAGGATACCTAGTCTCTTCCCTTCTCACGACTCGAGACCTCTGTTTAGATTTCTGAAGACTGTCCTAGCCACACAACCACACTGTCATCAGTTTAAACATCTCAAACATCTCAGTATTACTCAGCGATCATCTCCAACAGTGTTAACCTAATACTGATTAGGTGTTTAAACACTATCGTGTGGCTTCCCCTCTCTTTTAACTGAATCCACACATTTTTACGCTATATGTAAAAAAAGCTTTAGTTATTAACATGGTCGGAGCTGGGCTAAGGAACCTGCTAAGCCAGGGGCACGTGGTAGGGCCTGAGTCCCCAGGTGTGCGGGGTCCCGTGGAGAGCAAGCTGGGGGCGCCTCATGGTGGGCCTCTTTCCCTCCGAGACGCGGGCTTGAGGTGGGTTACGACGCTCAGCCAGCGCTGGTGTCTCCTGAGGAAAAGCCCCCATTCTGGCCCGCCCTGTCCCTGGAGCCACATGAGCTGTGTGGAGGGTGGGCTCTGGGGGAGCTTGACTCTGGCCCATCCAACCCGACGTGACACGGATGTGAACGTTCTGGAGAGGTCCTCAAGGTTCTGGGTCTCTCTGCCTTGCTCACAGCTGGGCTGGGCCCTGAAACATCCAGACTTCAACCTGTGCTAGGAGCTGCACATGAGCTCCAGGGGAGCCGAGAGGAGAGAAGGACGCGCGGCAGCTGGACGGCAGGACCCACGCGTGGCCGCGTCCCTGCCCAGCACAGGGCCTGGTGCACAGCAGACCTGCTGCAGTGTCTGCATGCAGTAACAGGAGACAGGATGCACGCAGCCGTCCCGCTGTTGCTGGGCAGCTGCTGTGTGGTGATTTCTGGAACCCTCTCTGCCCCACTGGCTGGTGCTCAGGATAGAGCCAGTGAGAGCAGTGATGTCTGGTTCAAGGACAGATCTGAGATTATCCCGGGAAGGAGGAGCCACAGGAGCAGCCCTCACCCTGTGTCTGTGCTCGGTGGGGGGCAGGCGCACATCCCAGTAGCCTGTATCTGTGCCCCAGGAGCTGGCCCCGCCCCCAGGAGCCCTGTCTGTGCCCTCAGGAACCTGCCCGCCTCTGCAGAGTTGCTCCTGGGCAGATGTCCTGGTGGGGAAGTTCCAGAGCCTCCCTATACCCACTCTCCAAGGCTGCCTACCGGAGCCAAAGACATGGAGGGGCGGCCCCAGGGAAGCTTGGGGCTCCCACCCTGCAGTGACCATCACAGCCCCCTACTGCTGTTCCCCAACAGGCCTCAGCTCAACGTGGAGACCCAGCGGGCAGGGACAGGCTAGGCAGTGGGCTGGGGGCCTGAGTGCCCCAGATGGAGTCCTCTACACCAAGGGTCCTCAGCCTATCCCTCGGAACTCTGACACAGGCACTGTCGGGAGACCAAGGGCGTCTGACCGGGACTCTGAGGTCTCCTCTCCCCCCTTCACCTCACAACGGGGTGTGAGGACCACGTGGAAGGACCCCCAGCCCTAGGTGGCCTGCACAGAGCCTGGAGCGTGCACACAGCGGCTGCGTGGCTGGCCTCTCGTCACCGACCCCGAGAGGCCTCGAGTGCTCGGGCGGGAGACACGGCACTCCCAACACAGCGTCGGTGACTCCACACCCAGAAGCGGGGAAAGAAGGTCTTGAAATACCTAGAAGTTTCTGACTGTCCAGTTTCTGCCGGTTGAGGGGGTTGGTGCCGTAGAGCAGCGCATGGGCCTCCGAGTGTACGGTCTGCAGCTCCTCCAGCGTGGCCTTGCGTCCGCGGATGCACTGTGGGGACAGAAAGGGCGGTCACCCGCCTGCCGGGCTGACAGGAGTCCTACCAGAGCCCTCGCCCAAGAGAACCCGCCTCACGTGCACATCCTTGAGGGCTGTCTCAAAACAAAACGCAGGCTTTACCCCGTGCGATACTTCCAGAGCGTTGTAGAGAGTTTAGACTTCAGCGACCGTGTGGACCATGAGAAAAGCTAAGTCCAACCTTCCGCCCCTTCCCCTTCCCCGTCACACAGGGTCCACCCCAGACGGTCACTCCTGCCCAACGGCCAGGTCCGGTCTCAGAACAGGTGAGTGGCCGGAGGCAGTGGGGCTGTTTTCCTCTGTTCCCACTGCAAGATAGATCTAGAACTTCTGCCCCTGCTGGCCGAGCCTGGACAGCGCTCCTTCCTGCAGGTTGTGGGCTGGACACGGCTCAGACCGGCCTCAGATGGCCCTCTGGGTTCTTCCACAGTCTGCTCTGCTCTGGGGACTCCTGTCCCGGCCCCTGGGCTCTGCTCAGACCTTCCCCAGAAATTCACAGAAACCTACCAATCTTTCCCAGAAGGACACTTGTCTACCCTCTTAAGGGGCTGTGGCCACAACATGAGAGAAGCCAGCAGTGGACATGAATGTGGATTCCTGAGAATGGAGGCCTTTGTGCCCCGGGGGTCCTTGAGTGCGCTCTGGGCAGGACCAGAGACCAGGGTGGGGCCCTTGTGTGCACTCTGGGCTGGACCAGAGACCAACCAGAGACAAGGGGTGGCGGGTCCTCGCGTGCACTCTGGCTGGGACCAGAGACCGGGTCGGTGGCAGCTGGCCTCTCTCCTGACTGCCTGGCCTCTGCTGCGCCTGCCCTGGGCTTGGCGTCCACACCTGCCAAGCAGGTGCGTGACGAGATGCTCTGCAGCGCTCTACCTGGCGTCCTGTGCCGGGGCGGGCCTCAGGCCAGGCAAGCCTGGGGACACTGCACACGTGGCTTTCCTGCGAGGTGCTCCATGGTCAGAGACTTGTCGTGCACCCACAGGTTCCCCCTTGTGGAGTTGGGAGCGGAGGGAGTGGGGAGCCACAGCAGGGCCATTGCTGTGCTGCCCTCTGCTCTGCCATGTCCTCTCAGGAAGCCCCCAGAGGGTGGGTGCTCTGGGGGTCCCCTTCTCCAGGGCTCGTGGAAGGAGGCTGAGAGGGGAACGCTTCCCTTGGGGACAAGAGCTACAGGGCAGGCAAGACGTCTGCGTAGGGCTGGCCTGCATGCTGAGGCAGGGGCATGCTCAGCGTCCTGGGACTCCCTGGCAGTGCCAGGTAGCTCTCGGGTCGCGTGGGGTCAGGAGAGGGCAGGTGAGCAGTGTGGATCGAGGTGGAGGGCGGGCCCAGCCCTGGAGGCCACGTGGGCTCTCCCACTTCAAGGCCAAAGCACAGGGTGAGAATTTTAGCCCAGCCAGAGCCACTGAGTCAGACCAGAGGCAGAGCCGCTAAGCTAAAGTCAAGGTCAGAATGAGCCACGGGGGAAGAGTGTAAGCACCCACCCTTAGGAATATGCGAAATGAGGACAGAGACAAGGGCTGAACTGATGACGCTGGGGACATCAGACCACGTAGATTTGCCTGAGTGTCATGCTGCCTGCCCTTCCCAGGAGGCTGTCTCCTAACTACCTCGGTCTCCCCTGAATTCCTAGAACAAAACGTGGGCAGCTCCTGGGGCTGCAAACTCACAGCAGGAGGACATGGCTTAGGTGGCTTTGACCTTCCTGCTGCATCTGACCTCTCTCACCCTGGCCCCCCTTTCCTGACAGCCATGCCTGGCTGCCGGGGGAAACCCCAAGGTGGTGGCTGCCTTGCTCGGCTCGGTCTGGGGGATGCCGTGGACCTGCTGCGAGACCACATGGTCCTCCTTCAGGAGCAGACCGGGAGCCTCGCCTGCAGGGCCAGCCCCAAACATACACGGGCACTTGATGCCCACTGGGCACGCTCAAGACTTCCCAGGGTGGCGCAGGGGACAGTGCCCGGGGCGGGAGCAGGAGGAAGAGCAGCTCAGAAGGAAAGCTTTTCCTCCGGGGCTCCGGGCTCCGGAGTCCCCTGGAGGGGCCTGGGCAGGAGAAGGAGGAGGAAGAGGGACGGCTTAGTCAGGATCGGGCTTCTGCTGGGGCAATGCTGCCCCCCAGTGGTGAAGCCAGCTGTGACTAAGGCTGTTGGCTCGTTTCTGGAAGTTTCCCCATCCTACCTGCCCAGGAGCCCTCAGTGCCGAGTGCACTCTGCACGGTCCTGGACCAGGCTGTGTACCCTCCCCTCCAAAAACTATTCCTCATGATGTGACGGGGAAGGAAGCAGACGACCGTAAACGCAGGCTGACGGGACTCCTAGATGCTCTAGCTTCTCAAGGCCGAGCAGATACCTCTGAGGGGATTCTGAGTGACTCCCAGACCCCCGCAGGGCAGGGCTGCGCCACCTCCCACACCCGTCCCCACCACAGCAGCCCACGCCGAGGCTGCGCGGCAGCTGTTTCAAGAACAGGCCGGGCCCCTGGCTGCTCTGACAGCAGTGCCCGCTGCCCTGTCTCTGGTTTCGGGGAGTCCAGTATGGGAGAGGGGAAAGGCTCAGCAGGCCCCCACATGGTGGCCTTCAGGTGGGCACCATCGTCCTGGAGCACTCCCAGGAGGCAGCAGCTGTCAGCTCTCTATAGACGGGGAGACTGAGGCGCCCCACAGCACGGGCTCCCAGGGCCGGTACCGGCCCTCTCTTCACACTCAGTCAGTGGGGTCTGGGGCTGCCCCAACACCAGCATGGACGCTCCTCCCTCCAGAGGGCTTGGGGACCCCTAGTGGTCACCTGGCCCCGGGGTACCCACAGAACGTGGTCCCCAGCCCCAGGGGGAGGAAAGAAAGACCTCGGAGTATCATCCCACTGACCTCCCTGCCCTCATGGCCGAATCCTGCTCCAAACAAGCCCCCCGCCGTGTTTGAAGCAAACTGGATCCTGGTCCCCGTTAGGAAGGGGTGGGTCCCCCTGTGTGCAAGCAACCGAGGTCATCAGCATGGCCAGACAGCCACGGGACGGAGGGCCAGCTGGACGCACAGTCACCAGAACCTTCTCAGATGAGCTTGGAGCAAGGGAACCAAGTTCAAACCAAACGAAACCACGACCGACAAGCTCAATCCCACACAGGAGCTTCCGCGCTGAGAAGGGGCGGGGGCTGAGGCCTCTGCTCACGTGCTCGGGGAGGCTTTGAAACGCTAGGATAAGAGGGTATCAACAAAAAGCCGGCAGAGCCGAGGAGAGCCTGATCCTCCCTTTGGGAGGCCTGGAGGCGGCCTGACGGGGTGCCCGGGCAGCACAAGGGGGCAGGGCCGGGGCCGTTCTGGGGGAGGGCTGGAAGGGCCGCAGAAGCAGCCGGGAGCACCAGGCAGAAGGGGGTGCAGGCCGGGCTCACAGCCGTCACCCTCACACCCATTCTCCCAGCAGGGCGCCCGTGCCCGGCTGTGTGGCCAGCAGCCCCCGCCCGCTGGTGGCCGCGTTACCTCGCACTTGCTGCGCAGGCCGGTCTCCTGCAGGCGCGACCAGATGCTCTGGATGCGGCCGGCGTGCTCGGGGTGGCTGTTGGTGTTCCCGCAGGTACACTGGTGCTTCAGCATCAGCGTGTCGTACACGAGGCCTGCGGGCACACGAGACGGTCAGCGCAGGGCTGCGGCGGGGCACGTGGCCACCGTCCTGCCGACCGTTCCGAGGAACGACAGAGCTGCGGCGCCCTCCACGGCCAGCACAGCACGGGTGAAGGGGTGAGGGCGGCCCGGCCTGAGCCTGCCAGGACGGTGGCAGCGGTAGGGCCGTGCGGAGCCCCGGGAGCATGTGGCAGAGGCAGGTGGGACACCAGGACTCCTGCAGCCCCCGTGAGCTCAGTCGTCATGCTGCAGAGGACGGCCGATGTTCGGAGACCAGAAGCTGGTCCCGCAGTCACCCCTGTCTCTCTGGTCACGGGTTGGTCCTCTGTTAAGGCATGCTGGTGCCCCTCTGAGGGTCGAAGGGAAGAGTCGGTTCCTGTCCAGAGGACCTCAGGCAGCAGGCATGGTGAGGGCACGCATGGCCATCTGGCCAGCACGCAGACGAGCACTGACAGCACCGGGACCTGCACTGGGGACCTGACACTTACGAGCTGAGGGCAGTGGTGCCGGTGGGCATGGTGCTCTGCAGGGGCTTGGGGGTCTCCCAGAGGAGATGGGTGCCCACGGGCGGGCGGTAGGAGGGAGCCGCCCAGGTCATCGCCGCCGAGGGCTGCCCCAGGGTCGCTGGCCCTCCTGGGACCTGCAGTGCTGGGACCCGCTTGTCCGACCCTCCCCTCAGCATGAACGCAGGCTGCAGAGCCCACAGCCCTCCACCGCTTCCCTGCCAGCGGCATCGCCCATGAGGTTGCTGCAGTGAAGCTGGACAGGGAAACACACAGCCCCTACGTGGCCCACCCGTGCGGCGCCCCCGTGCCCCTCACACCCAGCAAAAGGTTGTGCCCTACCTGTCGTGAAGCGCGGTTTGGTGGGGGGCTCCTGCACAGACATGGGGAAGGTGGCAGACGCCGGGGAGGACTGTGCCCGGGACAGGGGCCGGTGGCCTCCAAAGGACACGGGGATGCCGGCTGCCTCCATGGACGCCTGGTAGTTCCTCAGCTGGTGGATCCGCTGCTGCTCCAGGAGGAGGGCTTGCTGGGGGTGGGCAGGGAGAGCGGAAGAGGCACTCTGTTGCTTCAGTGTCACCTCACACCTCAAGGTTTAATGGTTATGTGTATCCTTTTCTCACAAACCATTTATTCACCAACCAACTCACCCATCCATCCATCCATCCACCCACCCATCATCCATCCATCCATCCATCCATCCATCCCATCCATCCACTCATCCATCCATCCATCCACCTGTCCACCCACCCACCCATCCATCATCCATCCATCCACCCACCCACCCATCCATCATCCATCCATCCATCCACCCGCTCATCCATGCACCTGCCTATCCATCCACCCGCCCATCCATCCATCCACTCATCCATCCATCCACCCACCCATCATCTACCCATCCATCCACCCACATACCCACCCATCCATCCATCCATCCA